GAAATTGATTATGGTGCACTATGCTCTGAAGAAGACCAGAATATATTCCTTCTCGAGATTTTGTGTGGTACGAGGCTGCTTCTGTTCACGCCGGTGTAAGTGCTGCAAACATGAATGCACGTGTCCTAGTTAGAACAATGGCATATGTGCTGCATGGTGAAATGTTCTGTACAGTTCTGAATATGTTGACGTAAAGGAAAATGACGGCTGCACGCTTGCAAACAACGGAAGACGCCTTGCCACAACGCTATCGTTTCAGGGGGCACGGTAACGAAAGACACGGTAAAAAAACAAGTAAAACGAGAACATTGCACGTTTTTGCACGTATTGAAGTTTTCTAGCGCAAACAACCCAGCGAGGAAGACATTTACATATGTGTAGCTATATAGTCTCATGATTCATACCAGGTGCATTTTCGTTTGAAACCAACTGACCATTTCTCAATAACGATTACTTTGCCCTTGCAGGCTGCATAATAAAGCCTCTACTTTTTTTTTTTTGCATAATAAAACCTCTACGATTGGAAATCCTCAACGCTATCGAAAGTCACAGTGCAGCTGTAATGTCAACCAAGGTTGCCAGAAAATCTGGCCAAAAAATAACGCGTGCGAAATCATGCTGCTAACGTGCAGTATACATTACAATAAATTACTTATTGCATATTGCAAGCATGCTTGATGCGTGCAGTAAAGTAAAAAAAATGTTGACTAAAACCTATCACTGCGCCAAGGCTGCTTGACATTAGAGCTTAACATAAAAATGATTCTCATATACATCTCACAAACATCGACAGTAATAAATTATCTGCTCAGCAAAGTAAGTAAAAACGGAATGTATTTATGAATGTACAAAAACATGCGTATATCTCCGATTCTTCGTTGTAAGCAGAGCCGTCCTTGACTTGCGAAACGCACTTCACCATGACGAGGACAATGCCATTTACGTTTCACAGAGAATAACAATTAACAATGTCTTCTCCGATTAGGCGAATCGGCGCAATTATACGTTTTTGAAGACTTGTCAATTCAACGATGTGACGAAAGGCCATTGCTCCTAACGGTCACTCTACCTATCGTTTACACTCGCCGCTGTGGTCTAATGGCTAAGGTACTCGGCCCTTAACCTGCGGGTCATTGGATCGAATCCCAGCTGCTGCGGCTGCATTTTCGTTGGAGGCGAAAGCAAATGCTGTAGGCCCGTGTGCTCAGATTTGGGTGCACGTTGAAGAACCCCAGATGGTCAAAATTTCCGGAGCCCTCCACTTCGACGCCTCTCTTAATCATATAGTGATTTTGGGGCATTAAACCCCACATATCAATCACTCGATTCCCTGTCGTTCACTGTATTTTACTGTGGCGACTTTATTTTTACTTACTCTCTTCAAAAGCATACACATGGAGAGTCTCATGACCTTGATATGCATGTACACTATCTCCTCAAACTACCGCTGATAGTCACGTCACAGAGGAAAGCTGATGCTTGTGTCCCACTATGGAATCAAAAGGCAGGCGGCGACTGTGCAGAAGAATGTTGCATGCTGCATCACAGCTAGGAGCTTGCTGTTGGCCTTGAAAAGGCGACGTCGAAAGTGCGGACGCGCCATTTTGGAGGCTTCCTCGGCCCCGCGAAGCTGATGGGCGGCCATGTTGAGCACTGCATTGGAGCTAGGACCAACGCCTCTTAGAAAAACTATGCCTGGATCGTCGCTCTCTTTTCGATTGGAGCTACCTGCCAACACAAAATCTCCGAGGCCATGCCTCCTGCCACGCGTTGGGACCGTCCGCTACGTGGGACTGCTCGCCTCCATACCGCTCAGTCACGTGACATTGCCGTACCGCTCTATCACGTGACATCACATCTGCTTGGAGGCAACAGTGAGAGCGTTTCTGTGTTTACAGTGGGCGGCCGCAACAGGCATTCACATTCAAACCGGAGGGGGAGGGTAAAATCCGAGGGTAGGGCGGCACGTTCGCTACTTACGTTTTAGGTATAACTTTTTTAGGAGGCGTTGCTGGGACGAAGAGGAGCCATCTTGGCCTTCCCCCCCGAGACGAAGAAGAAAGGCCGCCATGTTGGCGTGAACCGGGAACGAATAGGCGCCACGAGTAGGAGGCCCCACAGACTGCTGCACCCAACACGGAGTTGCTGCACCCAACACGGAGCAAACTGCTCTAATTGCATGCGTACAAGGTCCTCCTCTCACGCAATCGAGACGATGAACTTGTACGGGCGCAGGACGCCTGCGTCGTTACAGGCCGGCAGGAGTTTCAGGCCGGTGTGGCCAACGCCTTAAGCAGCAAGGCATTCTGCCGCTCTGTCTTGCGGGCGTCTTCCCCGACAGCATCCAAGTGTGATGCAGGTTTAAGGTTGATTAAATTGTTGCTCGGTAAAAAAAGCCTCGGGGCTAAGAAATGACGAAGCCGTTTAAAGTAAGAAAAGAAAAGTAGAAACATTAAGCATAATTAAGAAGAAAAAAAGATGAAGTTGCAATGTACCCACACCGAGTCTAAGCTGACAAACTAAGGCATGCCCTGTAAGTTGTCCAGCTATAATGTTTGTAAAGATCAGCAGTCACCGGTGGCATGATGGTGGCGGTGGCTTGAGGCGGCAGATGCTGGCAATGTCTTAGGAGCTGGAGTCAAGCGCTGACCAGCACGACCACGCTTGGCGAAAGACGAGGTAGCCATTGCCCTAGCAAGAACTGCAGCTGCTTACCGACGCTGGCTCATTTCGAGAAGGTGATCACCACCCGACAGGTTCTGCCCTCCACGGGCCGTTCAGGACCAAGGTCGAGACCTGGATACCTGGGACGTGACCTTGAACAGTCATGGCCGGAAATCTGGAAGGCCGTGTACCTCCGAGTACACCGTGGGCAGCTGGAGCGTTCTGGCCTTGCCTGACTTCACGCGTTTCGGACCAGAACCAGACACCGCAGTCGCGGTGACGGGTTCCCCAGGATCTTCCCTCCAGCCTGCTCGATCTCGTTCTGCCCTCGACTTGTCTTTGACTGTCCTGTTCTTCTCTCTCGTGACTTGGCCGCGCAACCTTTTTCTTCCTTTTAGCGAGCCGCAGTTTCATCCGTGACGTTTCGCGCTGACGTCATCAATCTCCGCCACTCAATCGAGAAGCACCACTGCCGTCGTCTCCGAGGCCATTTAACATAAAACCACAGTGCCACCACACTTGAAAGACACCACCACGTCACTATACTACACCACACACCACACCACATATGCTTCGAAAATGAACTTCCAATCAGCCCAAGGGATCGGCGGATCCTCGGGCGTGGAGAGAAAAAATGATGGAGGTATGCGAGATGCCATCGCAACCGGAAAAACTACACCAAACGAAAAAAAAGAAAAGAAACCAAACACGAAATGAGAAACGCCAACGCCAAAAAAAAAAAGTATGCAGTGTTCACAAATAGACGCGGAGCCGCTCGATGACGAAAAGGCATAGGAAGTGCGCCGCCGCTATGAAGAACAAAAGAGCGATGGTGGGAAAAAAACAATTTTAAATGTCACATTCTTGGCCAATCCTCCAAAGTGGGTACATGCACAATATATTGTAAAAAAACAAGCGTACGCCAAAGTAGCGTCGCAAGAGAATGGAATCTTCGAGGCAGACCGGAAAAAGAACCTACGAAGGAAGTCGTAATTCACCTAGTCTTTGAAACTAAACAGTCGTAGATGGCTGCCCCGGGCAGAGTCGGCGTGTTGCAGCGCTTCGCTCTTCTTGTTCGTCGGCGTCGCGACCACTTCAACCCCGACACAACAGGCATATCTTACGCTCTTCCTAAAAGAAATGTGCTCGGCTACGGAGTTCGAATTGGACACAACGCACGCTCAGTGTTACAAGCCTTTTTGTTCGTTGCATACGCAAAATTCCGAATAAACATAGCCGTATCAGCCAGGGGGCCGCAAGGAGCAAAAAAAAGGGTGTATATAGAGGATGTCATTTTCCGTTTGAGTGCTCAATTTTATTTATGTACGCCCGCTCACTTTTTAATTATATTGATCTAAATTGGGCAATATTCTCATTAGATAGACCTACCGTGGCCCATTTTTGCGGAGAACTACTGAAGTTCGTTTGCTGAATTTGCACGTAGATAAACTAGAACCCCTGATCTATTTCCTCAACGTAGCGTTTTTCAATAAAGTAAGCAGAAATGCGAAACAAAGCTCGCGAATTGTCTTAATTTATCGTGCCGTAAACATCAACAAAGTCGTTGTTATCTTGAAATAGCAATGAAATCTAAGCATGCATAGCCTAAACTATAACAGTTACAGTCTCCTGGTATACTTATGCACACGAATCGCACACAACAGCTGCAGGAATATTGAGAAATCTACATTATTCCTATCACTACAACGAAAATCTTCCCCTAGCGCCACCTAAACAAAAATAAGGAAAGCACTGAATTTGAAGGTTCCCTGTCTCCCCGAATGCGGCGTGCAAAAACTTTTGCCTCAGGAGGAAACGTCTTTTCTAACTTCAAACCATGCACCGTCATCTGTAAGCCTTCCTCCCCTCAGAGTCTCATAAGGCTGCGCGGTACCGCGGGAGAGCGTGAAAACAGGTCGGCAGTATCCTCCGAGAGGGTGGGGTGAGCGTCTTCACGGGAAAAGAAAGGCCGAATTCATGGAAAGTCCCTCTTTTATGTGTGCACGTCTTTGTCGCCCTCCTCACCCCCCACGGACTAAAGCGAAAAGCGAGGGCTGTGCGACGACAGTCAAAAGAAAGCAGAAAAACGAACGACAAACGAGCGGTACGAGCGAACTGAGCAGACGTGCGTGAGTAAGGTATTTGTGAATATCTTTTTTTTTTACCGTGAAATATACGGAGCTTCAGACGTGCTGCGCTTGTTCGTATGAACCCATCACAACAAACAGCACAAACACGAAACGAGGCACACCTACAGGAATGAGATGAAGTCTGTTTTGTACTTTCTGCGTGTTTATTTCATTTATTTACTTTGGGGAAAACTACGGTGCGGCAGGAGTTGAGGACGCATGTTCGCTTTCCGCCTTTATATACGACAAGCGCACATTTCCATAGCGCCGAAATGCGCGAACACCAATGTTCTGGAGTACCCCATGACGGCGTTCCTCATAATCACTGCAAACTCGCTCTAAGGGGACGCGGGCGCTTGCAATCTCTTCTCTCGAAGTCAGCTGTGAATATCCGTCATCGGTTTCAATAAACCACAAAACCGAGCAATATTTATTCCGTTGCTCACTGCATAAACTGGCTAAAATCATGCTACTGCCTGAAAATCATGCAGATTTTTCAGCCAGTAACAACGAAGCAAAGTGGCATGAAATTTGCTGAATGCACGGCGTGGTGTAAGAAAGTACTTCGGTGCGGGGACAGCAATGAGGCACCAGGGCTCTTGTTTTTTTATGCTTTGAAGCACCCGCGACAAGTGAGGTCCTTCAGGGAGGCAGAAAGGCGGATAACTTTTGACTATGCTCCCACTGAGCAGGTCTGGTGGGGGAGCGGCAGTGGTGAAGCCCATCTACATTTCCTATGCACTGAAAACTTGTTGGTTTTCTTCGGTGCCAGTGTACAACACCATGCGACAAGGCACCCTGCCGACGCTTTCGCCTGAAGGAGAGAGAGAGAGAGAAAGGCAAAGGAAAGGCTTATATGATACCCTACACGGGGAGGGGGAAGGGGAGAAAAAGAATAGAGAAAAATGTCAAGGACATGCGGCACCTGCTGACAATTCGTCATTAGGAAGTCTGCTGTGCGGAGAACTGTCAATGCGTCAAGATAGCAGCTCCTTGACTCGTTAGCGTGAGTCATAAGGCTGACGAGTAGAAATAGCCGATCTTGGACTTACGCCTAGTAGCTCGAAAAGAACAGAAACGTTTCTGAAAGGGATAAGTTTATAAGAAAGTGTGGTGACATCGGTGTGCATAAAACACGTTTACATGAGTGCGAAACATGCGCTTCGCATTCATGTAAGCAATGGAAGGCGCATTGCACTAATGCGTAGGAAATGGGCAGTTTTGCGAGTGCCGGTCGATTCACGGGCCGTAAATCACGATGAGGGGAATGGTGGCCCCCCGTTGTGCGAACTTCGTGCGTCCCTCTTTCGCTATAAAAAATTTATTAATATTAGCTCAAGAAAACAAAAAACGTACGTTCGAGAAAGAAGTGGGACGAAGCAGAAATGTCGGGAGCTGAGATATTCCTGCCTCCTGCCACTCCTTTCTCAAGTCATTGTTATTTTGCTCGCGCTAATATGTACCTATTTATATAGTGGTTGATGACGCAGAAAATTGTGCGAATTTCTGTTTCCCGTGCTCGAGGCACGACTAAGCTAATGAGTTATTTTTTTTAGTTCTTTTACATAAACCAACTCGCCCAGCTACAAGTCGCTGTAATCTGATACTCGCTCGCTGTAATCAGACACCACATGGTAGCTGCGGCGTACAGAAGACGAGAGGTCCTGCAAACGGCGTCGCATCACCTTTCCGAAACGCGCTTGCAAAGTCGATGGGCTACTCTGGCATTCGTGTAAAATTGATTACAGCCCGACAGCTCGAAGCAACTGCCGGTCAGTTGGCTGCCAGCTGGGGCGACTAACTTCATTCAACAAGAGGCCGGCACGCCGTCTCCACGGTTGTTGAGAGTGGGGTCCAGTTCCTCTTTCCTCGATAAGAAAGCACGTTTGCGTATAGCCGGGTGTCGACAGTTTGCCGTAAGCCGGCACGACAACT